GCCGTCGCCGTCGCCGCTCCCTTTCTTTCCCTGGGCCCGTCGCGACCCTCCTGTTTTCCTTGGGGCCCCCAAGCACGCCAGCCAAAAGGAAATTGAGCAACGTCGTAATTGAGCCGAATGATAGCCTTCCCTTTTGATCCCTTCCCCGAAAGGGGGGCGGGCGGGTCCCGGTCCCCAGAGGGGGTCCCGACGGGGGGTCCCGGGGGGATCCCGGGTCCGAATGCCCCCCCCCCCCTGGAATGGCCTGGGGCCCAAAAGTGTCCCAAGACGAACCCAGAGTGCTCCAAGAGGCCCCCAAAACGCTCCAAAAGTAGCCCGTGTCGCCGAGCGATCGGTCCAAAACATCTTTGCGGCCTCCAGAAGGCCCCAAAAACCCGAAGACCCCATAAGTGGCTTCGAAAAGCACCCCCCAACAGAGGCCAAAGAGACACAATTTTTTGATTTTCTGATATTCGTTGAAGTACATGGACGCTCTCGCCTTCTCAGCTTCCCGACGCTCCAACACGGACCACAAGGCTCTAACGATCGCCCGAGGAGGCCTCCAAAAGGGTCCACAAACAGGCCAAAAACGGCCTGGAGACTCCCAGGACGCCTGCAAAACTGCCCAAAAAGCTCACAAGAGGGCCCCACGAGGGTGCCCACACATGGGAACCAAACGGACATTTCGAGCCCTCTGCCCCGAGAGGCTCCCGGGAGGCCCCCAAAGGCCCCCAAGAGGCCCCAAGAAACCCCAAGAGGCCCCCAAGAGGCCCCCAAAAGGCCCCCAAGGGGCCTCCAAGATGCCCCCAATGGGCCCCCACAGCTGCCACCCAGGGGCCCCCGAGAGCGCTTCGAAAAAAACCCACGCAGAATCTTCGAGGACTCTGACCCACGTCAGCGTCGTTGGCGTCGTTGGCGTCGTTGGCGTCGTTGGCGTCGTCGTCGTCGTCGTCGTCGTCGTCGTCGTCGTCGTCGTCGTCGTCCCCCTTTAGGGTCGGCGGCACAGGCCTCAAAGCCTTCGCAGTAATTCTCGTTGATCCCCCCGTTGGGTAATTTGTACGCTTGTTCGATTGAAGTGCCCCCCCTGGGGCTCGCACCCTGTTCTTCTATCAAGGGAGATCTTCCTGCTCAAAACAGCGCCCCAGCCCCCAAACTGCAACAACGACGTCTCTCGCCTGATGCTCCCCCGCAATTCATTGAAAAATCGCGCTCTCGGGACTTCCTCGCAACGCATGTCGAAATCGCGCATTCGCGTGAGACTTCCTCGCGAAACTATTCAGACGGCGCCCGCTGCGCTCAGGAATTAAGCTCTCGCTAGGGCTTTCTCAGTCGCTCGACGTTTCCTCGCGCTTCATGCGGGACCCACGTTTCGGCGAACCGTTTGCTCGACCTGGTCGCCTGGGCCCGCCTTCCCGAACTGCCCGCGATGGACCTGCCTGCCCGATCTGCCCGTCTGGTTATACCGCTGATGTTCTGCTCCTTGCCCCCCTCTTGTTGATTTCTCTCGCGCTTCATCCTTCTCCCCCCCTTTCTGCGCCCATCCTCTCTTCCCCCGTTTGAGGGGCCGCGCTAAACGCGCGCGGCATGTGGGCAATATATACACCGAAGCGGTTCGATCGAAGAAGACGGGGGTGGGCGCCGACGGAGTAGGATGCGCGCGTTGATTGGCGCGTGAACAGATGGGAGCGAACAGTCTATACTTGATTGTTGTTGTTATTGTTGTCCTTGTCGTTGTGGTTGTCGTCATTGATTTTGTTGTTTTCGATGCTGAACCTTACTTACTGAACATTAATATTTCTTGACACCCTGAATGCGCTGTCGCGCCCTTGCCTAGGCCTTAATTTCGTTTGAAAGTACGCTCACGCTCAGGCGTTTCGGGGTTCCGCCAAAAGCGACCCCCCAACGGCAACGACGCTCCGGCTCGATACTTCCTCCTTTCGCACTCGGGGCCAGGGCTCTCGCTCGCCCCCCAAAGCCGCCTTCCCAACAAAATCGCTGCCCCCGCTCGACATCCCCTTTTGATTTTCACGTCAGGGCCGGCGTCCCCGCCTCAGGACCCCCTGCAAACAACAACGCTCCCGCTCGACACTTCCTCCGCTTGTGCTCAAGACACACATGATATGATTGGGCACCCTGAGTGCGCTTTCGCGATCTCGCACCTGCTCCGCGAGACCTCGCTCTCGCTCGTGTCCTGGGGCGCGGCGTCGTCGCCGTCGTCGCCGCCGCCGCCGCCGCCGTTGCCGACATCGTCGTCGTCATTTTTGTCGTTGGTAAACATATAATATTGTAGGACGCCCTGACGGCGCTTTCGCGCTCTCGCGCGTGTTCTGCGCGACCTCGCTCTCGCTCATGTCCGGGGGCGTGGCGTCGTCGTCGTCGTCGTCGCCGCGGAAGCCGCCGGGGGCCTCCTGGAACTCCCGGAGACACCTGGGGCCAGGGGCGCCTCTTGGAGGAGGACAGCAGGGAGGACGAAAAGGAAGAGGAGGAGGAGGGGGAGGAGGAAAAGGAGGAGAAAAAAAAAGAGGAAGAGGAGGAGGAGGAGGAGGAGGAGGAGGAGGAGGAGGAGGAGGAGGAGGAGAGGAGGAGGAGGAGGCCGACGACGACGACGACGAGGACGACAGCGGCGGCGGAGGCGACGACGACGACGAAGAGCCCCGGCGTCATCAGAAAGCGGCCGACGCAAAACCGGCGGCCCCAGTGAACGGGTCGAAAGCCCAGGGTCTAAGTTGCGAAGCTTTTCTCATAGGCTTGGGGTCTCTCAACGGGTCTCTCCCGAAGGTTGCGGGACCTTTCCCTGGAGTCTTAGGCCACCCAGGCGCCGTGATACCTACAGGCAACGCCTGGGAATGGGGATTGCGAAGGCGATGTGCCATCCAGGCTGGAGATGTTGAAGCGTTTCGGAAGAGGCCAACACCTCCTCGGGCGGGAGATCAGGGACAAGGAATATCGGACCCCCGTGTGCAATAACAAACCCCCCATGAGGGGGAACAAGCATGATGAAATCATGCTACATATACAAGCACAGAGCATTCGGGTAAACTGATTGTTGTGTGCGTGGCTGAATTCGCAGTTCTAAAGAATACCTGTCGTTGACCCTCCAGGCCCAATAACCATTCCTTTTTAACATTTACATGCTTCTCCCGGGGGTCGCACCCGGCCTTGTACAAGGGAAAACGAGGTGTCACCGAACTGCGCCCCTGGCCTCCCAGTTGCACAAAAAACTGTTCTATGTATTCCCACATCGCGCTCTCGCGCTGGACGCCCTCACAGGCTATGCAAGAATCGCGCTCGCGCGTGGAACTTCCTCGCAATGTATTCAAACGCCGCGCCCTCGACACTCAAGAATCACGCTTTCGCTGTGGAGTTCCTCGCGATGTATTTGGGAATCGCGCTATCGGTCGACACTTCGTCGCGACTCATACAAGACGCGCGCCTCAGCAACACGCCTGCCCCTTGTCCTTTTCTTACATCCTTCCTTTCTTTCCCTGCCTTACGGGCTGCACGAAAGACGCGTTGCAAGTAAGAATGCTATAGCCGAACACGAAGTGGGCGGGTAACGAGGACTTGGGATGTACGTGTTGGAAAACACGCCGGCAGGTAAGCGCGAACAGATTTCATAGAATTGTTGCTGCTGCTGCTGATGTTGAGTTCCCAACTATAAAGAATATTGTTGATCCCCCGCCTCGGGTAACCTTTGTATTTTTCAAATTCGATGCCTCTCTTTGGACTCGGACCCTGCTGTACTAAGGAAACTGAGGTGTCATCACCAAACTGGGTAGCTGGGTCCCGAACTGCAACAACAACGGCTCACATTTGATACTTCTTCTTCACAATGTATTTCGAAATCGCGCTCTCGCGCGGGACGTCCTCATAAGTTATGCATGGATCGTGCTCTCGCGTAGAACGTCCTCGCAATGAATTCAGAAGCCGCGCCCTCGACAATCAGGAAACACGCTCCCGCTTCGGCCTATCTCATTTTTTTGGGGGCGGGTGAATCGCGCTGACGCTCGACACTTCCTCGCGAGCCATGCAGGACGCACGCTTCAACAATCCTCCTGGTCGACCTGGCCGCTTGGGCCCGCCTTGCCGACCGCCCGTTAGGGTCTACCCTCCCGATCTGCTCGTCAGGTTCTGCCACGCGCTTTCTGCTCCAACCCCCCCTCCTGCTACTCTCCTTCGAGCTCCATTATCCTCCCACCCCCGTGTCCCCTCATTTCATCCGTCCCTTCTTCCAGTGCCTTCGGGGCTGCACGAATACACGCTGCAGGTAAAACAGATCTATACCCCCAAGGGGGGTAAGATCGAAGACGAAAAAGGCGGGTATCGAGGGTTTGGGGTATACGTGTTGAATTGCCCGCGGCCAGACAAGAGCGAACAGTCTTAATACGGTGGTTGTTGTCGTTGTCGTTAGTGTTAGCGTTGCTAGCGTGTGTTGATGTTGGTGCTGTTGTTGTTGGTGTTGTTATTGTTGTTGGTTGTTGGTTGATGGTTGTTGGTTATTTGTTATGTGCTGATTGTTGGTTGTTCGGTGCTGGCTGCTGGCTGTTGCTTGTCGGTTGTTGGTTGCTGTTTGCTTGTTGCCTGTTGTGCGCTGTTGTTTGCAATTTGTTGTTAGTTTTCCTACACCCCAACTGCCCGCGCCCCACCCGCAACCCACCCGCGCCCCACCCGCGGCCCACCCCGCGATCCAGCCGCGACGCAGCCGCGACCCACCCACTTGCTTTGACGAAAAAATCGGCGCCTGCGCCGGGCTCATTGTGTAGCTTGCCAGCACATCGGCGCATGCGGCGTGCTTCTTCAGAGCCTCGCAGGCTTCCGACGACCTCGCCACCCCTTCCCCCATTCTTACCCGCAACTGCGGGGTGCTACGTATAAGTGTGTGTATAAACATATGTATGTACGGATGCATGCTCTTAGAGAAAAAGCAAAGGGCGAATGCCCATGGACTGCGCCATCGCCCGATGTTGGCACCATGGCTGTTGTATCCCATCGCCTAGAAATTCGCGGGACCACGCGCACTT